ATTCTTAGATGAAGATTATCTGGGTCCCCCGATTTAGTCCCATTAAGCTGTTCGAGTTTGGCTTCTACCTCGGATGTCGTAATATCTACCTACATATCCTCATTCCCATTTGTCATCCTACCATTATCCCTAAGCTCCTCATTAGCCTCATTAAAGACTGAGTATTTGTTTAGATATTGGGCCATGCCTAGATTATCCTTAACCTCCACTCCATCCTCAGTGTTTACCGGGCCCACTTCTTTCTTTGTTTTCTTCTTATTTATAAGGCTATAGAACCTTTTACTATTGGTTTTAATTCCCTTTGCAAGGTCCAACTCTACATGGCTTTTGGCCTTTCTCACTTTATCCCTATATGTTCTGACCTCAATAAGGTAGCTTTCCTTGCTTATCCCTCCCATCTTCCACTCCTTGTAGGCTTTCTGCTTTTTCTTAATCACCTCTCTGAGATGCTTGCTCATCCAGCTTGGTCTACTACTCCTGCCTATGAATTTTCCCCCCTTTCTTGGGATGTAGGCTTCTGATAGTTTCTGCAACTTTGACTTGAAGTAATTCCAGGCCTCCTCCACCTTTAGATCCACAAGTTCTTCAGTCCAATCCACTTCCCTAACTAATTTCCTTATTTTTTTAAAGTTAGCCCTTTTGAAATCAAAAACCCTCGTCACAGATCTATTTTTGTTTATCCTTCCATTTAGTTTGAAAAAATGAAAAAAATAAAAACAAAAAATATCCAGAATGAGGGCAGCTCAGATAGTGGTACTGCAAAAGCACAAGTGTAACAGTAAAAAAGAGAATAACAAGCTGGAGCAGGAAGTGTCTGGATTGAATCAACAGAAAACAGAGTGAATCTGCTGTTACAGCCTTACCAAAAGAATCCCAGGATAAGACCCAGGTAGATCATGGGAAACGTAGGTGTCAATATTGTGCACTCAAACCCATGTGGGGAGAGCAGTAGAGAATAGTGGTTGCGATTTGTGGGAGTTGTAGTCTAAGAAGGGGGGGGTGAGTCGGAGCTGGATCTCTACTCATAGCCTCATTATGAGGATGAAAAGGATGGTCCCCATGAGCTTCCTTTTCCCTTGGACCCTTCTGGGGAGTTCCCATATGGTCCCTTGCTTGAAATACTGGAAGAGCCATAGACATCCGTAGCCCCCACGATAAGGAAGCTTGGTCCCCAAGGGGGTAACCCAGAAGGAGAAGAATGGGTAGAATTCAGGCCCTTCACCCCTGCCCAGCAGGGCCAGATTTTTTTGTGGGACCAGCTCCAAACATATTTGTGGGCTGTTCTGGGGGCAATGCAACATGGTGCAGGGAGTTTGGTCCTTGGAGCGAGGGGCCAGCCAGGGGCAATGGGGCATGGCAGAGCGGGGGCGGCCCCGCTCCACCCAGTGTGAGGACACTATTTATTTATAACCCAGCAGTCGCCAGACGCACAGTGGCCCGCCCAGCCCTGTGCTATCAGCGTGCCCCTTTCCCGTGAGGGAGGGGCCACAAAGCCCCCCCCCGCAGCACCCCCTGGACCTGCTATGCCCAGCACCCCCCCACACAAATGCACAGTGTCCCGAACACCACCACCCCTGCCCAGCTCCCCCACTGCACTCAGCCCCACAACTGCACAGCACCCCATACAGACCCCCCACTGCCCAGCACCCCAACGCGCACAGATCTCCCCCACCTCTACTGCCCAGTACCCTTCCCCACAGCCCCACCACCGCTGCACAGCACCCCCCCAACAGACCCCCAATGCCTCGCACCCCAAAATACACAAACCTCCCCCATGGCCCCAACCCCTCACATCCCAGCATCCTCCTCAGAGACCCACTCCCCCACGCCCTGCCCCCAGACCCTGCTGAGCCAGGACAGAGCAGGGATCCCCCCTCCCAGCACAGTGCTAGGGGGCAGGACAGCTGAAGCTCGGCAGCATAGAGTGGTCCTGTACCCCAGGGCCCCACGCAGCCCTACGCGTTTAGCGTTGGTGCTGCCCATGGCAGAGGAGGCGCTTCCTTGCATGGGTGAGGGGGAGGCAGCTGCCAACTTTCCCAGCCCATGCTTCTGCAGAGCATCAGGGAGAGGCCGGACCTGCCCCGGGGAGCCTGAAGTGGACGGTCACTGGCCCAGAGTGGCAGCAGCTGAGGGCTCCTCTTCGGCCTCCGTCTCTGCTGGCGTCTGCCTGCCAGTGATGGGAGCAGAGAGGAGCCCTCAGCCAGCTGCCAGCTGAAAGGAGAAAGCAGTGGGCAGGAGGGGAGAGGGCAGGGAGGAGCTGGGAGGTGGGGCCAGGGGCAGAGAAGCCCTGGTCCGTTGAGAGGGGTGGGTGGGGAGAGGAGCTGGAGGGGTGGAGAGGAGCCAGCTGCTCTGGGCACAGCGCAAGTGGAGCCACTGTAAACCTGGTACTGCTGACCAGGCTAGAGCCGCAAGAGAATTGATTGTCCTGTTAATCCGGACCACAGCCTTGGGATGGCTGGCAAGGATAGCTGGCACCCCTGGTCTTACTCCAGCGGATGTGGCAGCAACTCCCACTCTCCTCTCGGAGCCAAGATAGGGGCTAGGGGTTCCCAGATGCTTTGGTGTGTGGAGCTCTGCCTCTAGATTTGTTGTTGCTGTCTGTACTTTTCTTGGCTTAGGTTTTTCCTTTCTCCCTAAGCCGTTCTTCTTTTTCTTCCTTCCTCCCCCTCCACTTGTTCTCTCTCTCCCTCTCCGCTTTTCTCTCTCTCTCCTCCTTCTTCCCCCCTTCTCTCCGTTTTTCCTTTCTCCACTTCTTCTCTCTCCCTCCTTCCCTCCACTTCTCTCCCTTCCCCTTTCTCTCTGCTTCTTCTCCCCCTCCCCGAAAAGCATTTACTGTCTTTCAAAATATGGTTGCCAGGCAATAACTACTTAGTGCTTGGAAGCAGTTTTTTAAAAAGCAGTAAATTAACAAAAGAAGAATTGGGCCCCAAAATTGAAAAGTTTGGGTCTGCATAAAGCAACTTTGTTTAAAGCCATTTGCCCCCCGTTAAAATTGGAGGGGGGGGGGGGAAAGAGCAAAAAAGAAAAAGGATTGAGTCAAAGATTTGAAGACAGCTTTTAAGGCTTGTCCACCCTGGAATTTTTGTTAAGTCTGGCTGAGCATGCAGGGAAAACCCCGAGTGCACTGCTACCGCTGCCAGTTGCCTCCCTGTAGGGAGGCCGGGCACCCCCAGCTCCCCCAACAGTTGCACATTTGGACACCGATGGGTGAGTGAGGTTCTTGATTTATGTGAATTTGAAGGAGGGGTGTTTGGACAGAATTTGTTGTTAAAAACAGGTGCCACTTACTCCTTGATAAGAACCTGTTTGGCCCTCTGGCGGGATTTAAAACCTTACAGGGGTTCAGTGAGGCACAAAATGTTGCTCCCTTTTGCAAAAACATTCTGCATTTGGTGTTTGAAAAAACAAGGAGAAATGGGCAATCTGGCTTAATGAATCTGGGAGGAGAAGGGTTCTTGGGAATTAATGTCTGAAGAAAATTAAGAGTGCTAGTTTATTTTGCTAACAAGGTTTTGTGGGAAAAGCCTCTTGGCACATCCTGGGAACCAGTAAAGATGTCATCAGGCTACCAAATAGCTGCCCTTAAGGCATATAAAGAGAGAAAGTAGCCCACGTGGACTCCAGAAAATCTGGCAATTTCAAAAGAACACTGGAAGGTGTGGGCCTAAAATAAAATAAAATGTGGTAAAATTAAGGAAAAAAAATCTTAGTTACAGGCCCTGATCCCCCACCCCCAAAGCAATACAGGTATCCAAGAAAGGCAAAAGCTATCCTAGAAAAATATAATTGATGGGCTTTTAAGCCTAGGAATTTTAGTGGAACAGACAAGCCCCAATAATGCTGCTCTCTGGCCAGTCCTGAAAAGTGATGGCAAGACCTGGAGGCTAGTAGATTTTTCGCCTTCTTAATTGGCTGACACCCCCAATGGCCCCTCTAGTGGCTAAGTATCAGGAGGTGATGGCCTCCATTGAGGCGTGGGGGTGGCTGTGGTTTTCAGTTTTGGATTTGGCCTATGCTTTAAGGGAAAATGGCGCCCTGGGCGAACTTGTATTTTGGTGCCCCAGCCCCCGTGGGTGCCCCACCCCTCATTGCCCCCATGGGCTCCCCAACCCCCATCACCTCCGGGTTCTCCCGCTTCCTCCCAGTGCTTAATTTGTATTGAAAGAGATGCCAGAGTTCAGCCCCAGCACATATTAAGCACTGGCCGGGCACCCAGCTCTGAAGGCAATGCCACCGCCAGCAGCAGCACAGAAGTAAGGGTGGCATAGTATATGGTGTACTGCCACCCGTACTTCTACACTGTTGCTGCAGCTCGTGGTGCTTGGCCCTCGGCCTGATGGCTCTCGGCAGGCTCCGTGCTGTCGCATGGGGACTGCATCTTGCTGGACCCCACGGCCAACCTGCAGCCCTCTGGCCACTCCTGGCTCACCAGGGGCGCCATTTCTGATTTTGAGGGGTGGGAGGCAACTTGAACTGTGATTTAGGGGCTATTTAGGCACCTGAAAACTCTAGGGTTTTTATTTTTTTTATTTTTTGCAGATAACAGAAATTAGCTGACAGAAGCATTGTACACAATTCCTATAGAAAGAAGGAAAATAAATATACAAACTCCAATTAAAGCCACATTTAAGTTTATATGTACATTTAGAACAATCAGGAGATAATACAGCAAGATATTTCCAATCCTAAGCCTTGAGGTACTGGTTCTGGAGCCTTAACACAGATCGCAGAAACACACATTTGATATTTTGTACACTATCTTTAGTAGAGACAAAGAAAATCTGCTTACTTTCTCTAACAGACACACTGTGTTACTGCCATTATCTACTCTATTTTAGTCAATTGTTTTTCACTCCACTAAAAATGCATTTACTTAATTTTAACATACATGATTAAGATATTTTTCTTTTATTAAGAACAGGAATTTTTTAAAAAATTATTTTGGCATTTATGTTTGCAGATCACAATCATGTACGTGACTCACTAATATTTGACTCCATCATTACTATTAGTATCAGACTTGGAACCACATTTATTTTTGTATGAATTTTAAGTTATTTTACAGATATAACTAAAAATACCATTTGAAAATAAGCGACCTTCATCTGCACAGTGTCTAAAGTTGTGTTTGTTTAGATAACTTTTTTTAGACTGGCAATGCTAAGGTGAGTACAAGCTAAATTTACATTCTAGAAGGATGCTATTATTTGATTGTACCATTTTAAATAATGAGTGACAAAGCACAGTGTGGTAATAAAAGTAAGGATAATTACTGCAGCCAGGGCAGGACAGGTTAGGCATTTTAGAACTCACTTCTCAATTAATTAAATTTAATCATAATAGAGAAATTTATGAAATGCATAGACCAGTCAAAAAACTGAAATAACAGCACTGTAATCCTTAATGAACTTTGAAAGAATAAAATTACATAGAATATATGTGCCTTACACATTTCAACAGGAAGTACCAAGAAGTAACAACAACAAAAACACCAATAATAATACAAGTGTGTGTGTTGGGGGGAGTGTGTGAGAGAGACTGTGCATGAGAGTGTGTGTGTGTTGGGGGAGTGTGTATGCATGACAGAGTATGTGTGCACAAAATGTGTGTATTGGGGGATTGTGTGAGAGAGTTTGTGTGTTGGGGGGAGTGTGTGCATGCCTGAGCGTGTCATCACTCTGTCTCTTTAAGCAGGGTACTCAGGAGCCTGAACACTTGTTCATATAGCAGCAGCTGCTGTGGGCAGCACTCACTCCTGAGCCAGCAGCAGACAGGCTCCCCCGTTCCCTGACCCAGCTCAGTGGTGACTGGGTATACGGGTTGGGGGAGGAGGACACCCTAACATCAGCCCCCCAGCTCTGCACAGCAGACAGGAGACAGGCTCCTGGTCCAGAGCAGCTTACCCAAGAGCAGCTCTATGAGGAGTGGAGAGGAGGTGTGAGCAGCAGTGGAGCAGGGTGGCGGGAGGAGGGGCAACCCTACCCCAGAGGCATGTAGCAGTGCTCCCCTGAGCATAGCGCCCTAGACAGTGGCCCCCCTCACCCAGCTGGTGACTCCCTCCCTGCCTGGCCACGGCCGAGTCCCGTCTCCAGAGATGTGCAATTGATGCTCCTTTAAAAAAAAAAAGTGTTAATTTGTTTTGAGTTAATCGCATGCCTTAACTATGATTAATTGACAGCCCTAGTAGAAATGCTTGAACACTGGAAACAAGAACACCCTGAAAGCTCGGAAACCAGAAGGCAAAGAAAAATAACTGAATATTAAAAAAAGATTTTAAAGCCAATCTCATGATTTTAGGGGGCCTGACACATAATTTTTGAATGCTTGGGGCTGACAAGACTGTAATGGCAATGTGTGATAGCTATAATTTATATATTTTCCATGTCTTTGCTCTACTTAAGGTATCTCATATTGAGGGATACCCATTCCTCTGTCATGGTCTTAATGGTATGCATACCAGGGATCAAGTCTGTTTCTACTCTGAAATTCTACATGCCGGCTCCCAAAGAAGGGGATGATTTTCCCAGTGAAAGAGGCTGTGAAAGTAAAGATTGGCTCTCTTCCAGAAAATGTAACCTCATAAAATGTAACTTTCTCCCCTTCATAATCTAGATAAACCCCAATTTTACTGGGGCCAGAAAGTAGGTCCAGAGGAGACTTAGGAGAGGTGAGGGCCCAGTACTTATTCGCTGTATGCTCCAAAGCCCAGACCCCCTCCCCTGGCACAGGGCTTATCACTCCCTGATCTATCACAGGCAGTTTGGCAATGCCCAATACCCACTGATTTTTGTTCCCCACCTCCACTTCCCAGTAACATCTCCCTGAGGTGAAGCCCGTAGAGCCCAGCACACAGGGAGCAGGGTAAAACCTGTTCTGTTTCTCCAGAAATTCTGTGTGTTGGTATTCATGTATCACACTCTCATCTGTGGACACGACAGAACAGGGATTTGCCAGGTCTGGATCCAGAGTGGCCTGCACTGCAAGAGGGGAGAGAGAGAGAGGAGGAGAGTGTTAAGGTCTGTTCTCACTGCAGAGGTAACCCAGGCTCTTACTCGGCTGCTGACCCTAATGCGTTTCCTGTCCAGATACATAAACCCCGCACCTGAGTTCAGTGGTGCTTTCCACCCAGGCCAGCTGGCTTGGATAGGGAGCTGAGTTACAGCCTGGGTTCTACTTTCACTCGGGCTGGTGCCCTGCCCACCTTGCAGCGAGGCCACAGGCTAAACCACTCCAGCGCTGAGCCAGAGTCTGAGGCCAGAAGGGAGTACCAGGTCATCTAATCTGACCCCCTGTATATCACAAGCCACCAACCCCACCCAGCACCCACACACCTAACCCAACAACCAACACTAGCCCAAAGTACCACAGCCCACAGCAGACTGGACTATGATGTGCCACAGGCAGAGAACAGAAGGCACCGAGGTGCACCAGTGCCCGAGGCCCCCACAGTGCAAGGAAATGATTAAGTGAGATACCCCCAGATAATCCTGGCAAGACCTGCACCCACATGCTGCAGAAGAAGGTGAAAGACCTCCAAGGTCCCTGCCAATCAGACATGGGGGAAATAGTCCTCCATTGCTTTCCCACAATTCCCCTGTGAAAGACAGACACTGGGGCCCACGACTCACTAGGAAAGAATTGCACAATAGCACAGCTTACAGTGGCACAATCAGCCATGGGATGTGCTCCCAGAATTCCTAACGGCTGACATGGGGGAGAGCAGCACCAGTGAGAACACGGTAACTCAGGTCAGGGTCAGCAGCGTGGCTCCTCACAGCCAGCCCCGGCTAACCTGGGTGCTGACCCCCCGGGTTCACACTGCAGTGAAGACAGGCCCTTACAGGCAGAGCTCAGCCCTGGGGGAAGCTAGGACTATTTCTCATGCTCCCCAGTAGCCTCGTGCTGCCTGGGGCACTCTGATAGTCAGTCTTGGGGAGCTGCCTGTTGGCCGTAGCTGAGTAGGAAAGTCACTGTCGTTACCTCCAGGCATCTAGGAGGTACTGTTGAGAGGGTGTGACGAAGTGGGAATTTTTGTAATATTTTTATGATGCCCATATGTGCCTCAGTTTCCTCTATTTGCTGCATAGTTACTTAGTGGGTGAAAAGGGACTGTTTGCTCTGGGGGGAGGCTAAGACACAGGTGTAAGTGTCACCTAGCTCTCTGGGGCCTGAGGTCCCATAATGAAGCTCCTGAGAAGACAATGGCAAATCCAATTGCCCAGACATGGACACCTAGCAACCAACAACCCAGAGAGCGATGGACTTCCCCACCTCTCAGTAGGGAGGCTGAGCCGCATGTCCCTAGCTCAGGAACAAAGGACTGGGGCGAGGGTGTGAGGTGGAAGTTAAGTGTTGGCTGCAGGAAGCAGTCGGTGGCACACTTGGGAGTCTAAGAAAGGAAATCAAATGGACAGGGAGACAGAGCTTGAACAATGGGGTTCACCAGAGCTTGGCTGGGCTCTGGCTACCCAGAATGGACAATGCTGTTGTGATGTTGCACTCCATATATTTTATGGAAATATGCTTATGAGTGTGAATATGATGTAACTGGAATATGCTTTATGCAAAAAGGTCTCTTGTACGGTATCATAACAAAGGTTATAGCATACTGAATATATTCCTCCTATTTGTATGTATGTATCATTCTTGTATTGGAAGCTAGAAATATGAATCATAGAATCATAGAATATCAGGGTTGGAAGGGACCTCAGGAGGTTATCTAGTCCAACCCCCTGCTCAAAGCAGGACCAATTCCCAACTAAATCATCCCAGCCAGGGCTTTGTCAAGCCTGACCTTAAGTATAACTCTGAGGTCCTATTGTAATTATGCAAAGTGTGGGCCATTAATAGTGGCTTAGAATCTTGATGGCTCCCATTGACTAGGACAATTGGTTGTGAATGGGTTTATTTACCTGCAAGCCTTCCTGTGTACCTGTGGGCCAGCCCCTGGGTAATGAAGAATGAGGTCTCAGAGGACATGTGACCATGTCACACGATACTGGAATCCATCTTAAATCTGGTACTTTTCCATTTAGAAGGAGGGGTGGGGACCCAGAGAGACAAAAGATTCCCACCTTTGCCAAAGCTATAAAAAGTGGGTGGAACAGAACAAAGGGGGCTCCCAGTCATGAGAGAACCCCTGCTTTCCACCTAAGATGTCTGCTGGAACTAACAAGGACTGTACCAGGGGAAAGGATTGGGCCCAGACTAGGAAGGAGTCTAGTCTGTGAAAGAAGCTTATTGGAACATCTCTGAGGGTGAGATATTACCTGTAATCAGTTTCTTAATGTATTAGGCTTAGACTTGCATGTTTTTGCTTTATTTTGCTTGGTAACTTATTTTGTTCTGTCTGTTATTACTTGAAACCACTTAAATCCTACTTTTTATACTTAATAAAATCACTTTTGTTTATTAGTGAACCCAGAGTAAGTGATTAATATCTGGGGGAGCAAACAGCTGTGCTTATCTCTCTATCAGTGTTATAGAGGACGGACAATTTAGGAGTTTAGCCTGTATAAGCTTTATACAGAGTAAAACGGATTTATTTTGGGTTTGGATCCCATTGGGAACTGGGTGTCTGGGTGCTGGAGATAAGTAACCTGCTGAGCTGTTTTCAGTTAAGTCTGTAGCTATGGGGGCATGGACCAGAACCTGGGTCTGTGTTGCAGCAGGCTAGCGTGTCTGGCTCAACAAGACAGGGTTCTGGAGTCCCAAGCTGGCAGGGAAAATGGGCTTAGAGGTAATTTAAGCACATCAGGTGACAGTCCCAAGGGGATCTCTCTGACTGAACCCATCACAGCTGTAATCTTCATTTCTCTACACTAACCAAAAGTTTCCTGTGCTGTGGTCCAGTTGACTAATAAACCTGTTTGGCAATGCTGACTGAGGATCACTGCAGATGCTTGCAGAGGTGCATTGCTCCTTAGGATTGTACAAGTCTCCCTCCAGGTGTATCTCAGTGAACAGAGCTCACTGTGTGAAGCAGGAGTGCAAGGCAGTGCAGCCTCAAGGCAGTGAAGCTGCGTGGTTTACCTTGGAGGAATAGTGGGACCCTTAAGGGGGCTGGCACACTTACGGGGTTCCTCCCAGAGACTGTTCAAAAGCTGGGGCCATAGCACCAATCCTGTGGTTCTGTGACAGAGGGGATCTCTGCTTTCTCCCCTGATCCTTCTCCCTGCTTCCCCTGGGGGTGCTCCACACCCAGCAGCAGAACAAGGCAGGGGCGGTGGCAGACACTAAGCAGAGGAAGTAAAGGGACACCAACTTCAGCTTTTCACACATTTCCACACTGCCCTATTCCCCCCGTATCTCTGGTGGAAAGTCCCCAGGCCAAGAGGAAGGCACGTGAGGTGAGAACTACTCCATCCACTCAGACCAGGAGAAAGGAGTGAGCAGCACTGCTGGAGAGACACCTGGCTCTCTGGCGCAATGGTAATTAGACTTCCTGGTGGCACTAAATGTCCCCACTAGGGGATGTGTAAAGGTCATCCAAAGCTTGTGCATTACAGTCATTTTGGGGAGGGAACATGGTCTAGAAGTTACAGCAGCTTGGTTAGAAGCCAGGACTCCTGGGTTCTATTCCTCGCTCTGCCACTGACTTGCTGTATGACCTCAGGCACTTCCTCTCTCTGTGCTCCAACTTCCCTTAAATGTACAGTTCCCAGTACCACAGGAAGCACATCCTACCCCACAGGGAGAGACAATGCTCCTTGAACTCTGGGCATGTCCAGACTAGGAAAATAGGTCCTCATTGAAAACACATCATTCTACAGTTGACCCACCAGCTAATGCATTTGAAAGGTACTAAATTGTGTTTGCACTAGTCACACTTAACAATGTGGTAGCTAGTCTCGTGAGGACCAGGCGTGGGAGTCAGGCCTGCCTCCTGATTCCCCCATTGATTCCAGAGGGGCTAGTAAGACTCCTGGAGATTCTCAAACACACCAGAAAGGGGCTCCAGGCCTCAGAGCATTTCCTCCTTCCCCAGAATAGAGAGCAGATAGTCACTGCGTGTTTGGGGTTCTATATGTGCCTGGGGTATTATTTTACAATGTTGATTTGGGGGTTTTCCTTGAAGGATTTGTTGCAGAGGAAAGCAGATATGGGATCTCTATGGAGGAAGGCAGTAGTCAGAGTTCTGGTCAATGGCTGGGAAGTGGAGGTTGCAATCAGGGTCCTTTCTCCCCTACCCAGTAAAAGACCTTCCCCTGCCAGTCTGTGGCTCTCTAGAGCAGGGGTTCCTAAACTGTGGGCCACAGCCCAAAGGTGGGTCATGACACAGTCCCAGTGGTCCACCACGATCGATATTTTGGGAGGATACTGCATACATTTGTGGAGTGGCAGCTGGCAATAGGCCCCACCCTGGGCTGGAGGAGCCCAGCGCCCCCGGTGGTTGGCAGAGGGCAAAGTGGAGCCACTGGACGGTGGATGATGTGAAGGAGCTGGCCCTGAGAAGTGGCGGCTCCCAGGGCAGCTGGAGGGTTCGTGGCCATTCCTGCTCCAAGTTGCCACACCCTGCAATCCATGGCTCTCAGAGGGGGGATGAGTGCGGGCGAGCCCCGGGCTGGAGCCCATGGCCAGCTGGGTCAGGGTCAGGCAATGCTGTCCAGAGCTGCCAGCCTGGTGGGGAGCTGCAGGCAGCAGGGCTTGCCCCTGTGGAGCCAGCAGGCCAGCTCCTAGATCCCCACTTCCCATGGGCACAGTGGTCAGGGGGTGTATGGCCAGGGGGAGCCCATGGGTTGAGAAATTCCTCCCTCTGCAGCCCAGCCCGGTTGGCTGGACAGCAACAGCTGCTGGCCGGGAACCCAGCTCTGAAGGCAGCGTTTCTGCCAGTAGCAGCACAGAAATAAGGTTGGCATGTATTGTCACCCTTACTTCTGCGCTGCTGCTGCTGGCAGCGATGCTGCCTGTGGTCAAGAGGCAAGGAGCGGGCCTGGGGGCAAGGCTGCGGCAGGGAGCTTCAGGCACTGGGGGCAGGCAGCCTGGGGGCAATGAGGGATGGGTGTGAAGACCGGGGAGACAGCAGGGGCCAGGGGCGATGGGCTGCAGTGCCTATTTCAGCTGCACAAGTTGGCCTCAGAGAAAAAGGTTGGGAAACCTGCACTAGAGTGGAAGGAGAACTAGAGCATAGGAGCTAGTGGGAGATGCTTCCTTAACTCTTTATTTCCCAGTTTTCAGAGGTTGAAGTTTGGTTCATTTCATGTTCTGGAAGAGTATGAGGCACTGATGATCAAGTTGAACTCTGTGTCAATGATGCTTTTGGGCAGTGAAGCTTGTCTTTCATTTAAAAAATAAAAAAAGAACAATTTTCTAGTCAGTATAATTGCAGAGAGAAGCAGCAAAATGTGACCTGAGTGCACCCTAAAGGCTGTTGTGATTATTGAAGCTAAACATTTACTCTGCGTTCAATTGTAAATAGTATATGCACGTTCATAAGATGTCACAATAATTTTTGCCTGCTTCAGAATTAACCATAGAAAGTAGGTCAAGTTATTTTCAGGAAAGGGTATTATGAACAAATGCAAGAAAACCAGACAGAGAGACTGGATTAGTCCAAACAAAAAGACCCTGCTGATATAGTTCAAAGACTGTTGAAATCGTGTCTGGTAAAAACAAAAGATGTGGAACCAGAAATTAATGGACCAAAATTTGTGTGATGGGTATTAGGCCTTATTGGACAAAGTGATGATGGATGAAGTATGCCAGCTGCTTTTCCCCTTTCTGGAATTCTTAAAAAGAGACTTTGGAAAAAAAATCTCATCTCCCATCCCACCTAGCATCCCAGCTCATCTCATTTCGCTCAACCCCAAGACAGAAGGACCAGATCAGACCAAAAGACTTTCTTCCCTAGAGGGAGGCCATTAAGCCTTGCTTTTATTTAAGGAGCCTTGTTTTCACCTGTGAGTCCTGAAAAGTCGTCATGACATCCAGTCCTCAGCCCATCAGTGCGGACACCTAATTACCAGTATCACAGAGGTATGTCAGTTCCTGTACTGTCTCCCTTCCTGCTGTGTTACTTTCTGCCCCCCTTCCCTGCTCCTATCCTCTCTCTCTCACTCAGCTTTTCATCAGATCTTGAAATCAGCTGCACGGCATCAACACAGTGAAATGGGATGACCACATTCCTCCCCTATCCAAGGAGAAAAGAATCAACCAGATGATGTCCCTGACCACGTGTCCAAGCAATAGCTGCCATGGTCGACCTGCCAGCCAAACCATCCATTCGTAATTGACCAGCCATTCACAGTTCCAGCAACAGCAGCAAAACCTGTATTTCCCCACCTTTTTCCTATCCTGTTTCTCCTCCACCTTGTGTCTGTCTGTTAAAAACAGAAGTGACTACCCTACACACAGCAGACTGAAAGCAAAATTAAGCCTTTCCTTTTCATCAAAGAAAGGTTATTTTGCAAATCAGAGAATGATATTTTGCCATGAAAAGGAAAGAGACTTTAGAGGTTTTGATTGGTTTCAGTGACTGTTTGTTTTGCATAATCCCTCAATTCCAGTTTCAATATAAATGCTTGTTTAATCTCTTTTCTTTCTTGTGTTTGAGCAGTAAACTTTCAACTTTAGAATTAATTATTTACCAAAGAACTGAGTAAAACCAATTCCTCTGCAGGACCCCCCCCCCCCCCCGCCCCATAAATATCACTGTTTTAATACTGGACAATGAAAGAATTTAACTATTTTGGCCCTTGAGATCAATACGAGGCTCCAAATCAGAAAGCCAACAAAAATAACCCACAATATGCTATTTATTAGAATATCTCATGATTTTCAAGCCAGTTTCGTGATTTTCAAGGGCTTGACTCCGATTTCTGAATGTTGGCAATACTGCCCTTTGCAACACTAGAGCAACATAAAGGGGAGAGAATCTGCCCTCGCTTATTTTATATTTCAGTATAAATATATGGGATTGCCAAACCCAATGTGAAACTCTGGCCTGAGTTCTACCGGAGGGCGGACTAGATGATCTAATGATCCCTTCTAGCCTTCGAATCCAGGACTGTATATTGGTGAAAAATTCTCTTGTTTGAATTCAGAGACTTCTTCTAAAAATTAATACTGAGATTTTAATAAAAAATTATTGTTGTAGGAAAATATCATCATGAAAACTTACCCTCTTTCTCTGCCTTTGATATCAGAAAGCTCAGTTGATAGGGCAGGGACTCTAGAGAAAGAAAAAATCAGAAGAGAGGTGATATCCTCTTTTCTGGTAGGAAACTTAGGGCTGGATTCACAAAGAAGCTTAGACGAGGTGACGCTCAGCATCGTGACACCTAATGCGCAGGCACCTAGAAAATCAGTGTGATTCACAAAGCCTAAGTCAGGTGCCAGCCTCCTTATACCATAAATGGGGAGAGAGATGTGCCTTGGGATGGGATTCACAAAATCCAGCACGCTAGGCGACTCCCTGCTTATGCCTGCCGGTGGGAAATGCCAAGGTGTGGGGGTGTGCTAAGCCCCGTCCGTCTCAGACAGTTCGGCAACGACAGCAACTGAGTCTGGGTAGCAGTGTAGGTGCCTCCCTCTTCTTGGGATTCTCAGCTGCGAACCCGCTCTGGGTGTTAGGCTCCTGTGCCATTTTTTGCAAGAAGCCCAGGGTGTGGGAGGGGGAAGGAAACCCTCCTGCCTCATAACTTTTAGCTCCATGGTTAGAGCACTTACCTGGCCTTTGGGAGACCCCTGGTTCAAGTCAACTCTGTGCCGGACAGGGAGCAGGGATCTCCCATCTCTCAGGGAGTGCCCTACTCTCTGGGCTGTAGGATATTCTGATTCAGGGTCCCCTCATGCTCTCCTGTGGGAGAGGTTCCACTGGGGATAATCAATAAAGATCCATTGGGCCAGAGACAGAGAGAATCATGAGACTGTCTCTGTAGCCGGGTGACTAGAGCACCCACCTGGGAGGTCCAGAAGCCAGTCCCCCTGCTCTATTATTTATACGCTGTGGATCAGCTTCAACAGGGGAGACTGAGGGAGACCATATTAGACCCCTGTTGGAATCCCTTCTCCCCCTCTGGCAGCCAGGGGATTTGCATTGTGGGTCTCCCACATCCCAGGTGAGTACCCTAATCACAGAGCTATAGGTTATAAGGGAGCTTCTCATTCCCTATGGCCTGTTATTTTGGGTAAGTTCCCCTACAGGGCCTGATCCAGTAAGCGTGCTCAGAGCATGCATCAGATTAGGCCCCGTAGGTGAGTTAGGAGGAGGAACGTCTTCCATTCCCCAGTTCATGTATCTCTCTGGGGCTTAGGTGTCCAGACAGCTAGACTGGGACTGCCGGGAGTGTGCACAGAGGCAGAAACACAAGCGCCTATTTTACTACAAAAATAGAGATGATGAGTGATTTTAGGCTCCTACAAGGTTTCGTTGCAGCTGAGTGGGGGCTTTGTGAATCCCAGTGGGGCCTGATGCTGGGATTTAGGTGCCTAAAATGGCAGTTAGACCCCTAAGTCCTTCTGTGAATCTAGCTCTCACCCTTTTCCTGCCTTTGGTCTCAGAGAGCAGCGTCTCTAGAGGAAGGAAGGAAGGAAGGAAGGATTGGAAAAAGGTGATTTCATGTTGTCTTGACTTTGGTAACATTCCTACTGTTAATTAATGTAACTGTGCTTGACAGAGAGAAGCTTCTGAGCTTACTCAGAGCTCTTCTTCAGCTCTGTGTAGCTTGAAAGCTTGTCTCTCATCAATCGGAGTTGGTCCCATAAAAGATATAACCTCACCCACCCTGTCTCTCTAATATCCTGGGACCGACACAGCTACAGCAACACTGCATGTAACAGTGCTGTAATATGGAGAGACAGACAGAAGGAAAAGAATGCAGAATGAAAGGTAGATTGGAATGGAGAGATTTTTCCAGTGAGGCCAAACTAAAGTGAAATCATCATCCCAAATATAATATCTTGCACCTCTCCATCTCCCTTCCTCCAAGGATCTCAAAGCACTGGGGGCATTCACTAACTACCACAACCGGGTAGGTTGGCCATTATTTCCCCCTTTTTAAACATGGAGAAACTTTAGGTACAGGCTCGGGGATTTTCAAAAGGGCTGAGGCCATTTGTGACCAATTCCCATTGAAAGGCAGTGAGAGATGGGTGCCTAACTCCCTTAGGTCCCTTTGAAAATCCCAGCCAGGGAGGCTAAATTCAACATTTTCTAAAACTTCTGGTAATTTTGTGTGTCTGAAATTCTGAGTGGCAAATTTTGGCACCTAGTGTTGGGTCTGAGACAATCCAAGTGGAGGCCTGGAGATTTTGCATAATCCCTCAGCCCTATCCACCCCACCCACAAAGACATCTAGCTCTAACAAGTTGTGAACTAATAAGACAGAGTCCATCTCCTTCCACAGTCACAGAAGCACATCCTCATGTATCATAACTATAGCATGAACCCAGACAACTTAATTACCTTTGAATTTCTTCAGAGACTCCTGTAAACAAACATTTCGTTGGGAAGAGACGCTGAGTCTCTTTCCCAGGTCCTTTGGCACAGCCACTGGTTTCTGAAACGACTTCTCACACCTAGATGGGGGAAAAAACATTCTCTGTTTTCTTTCTTTTCTGAGAAAGAACAGGGGCGGATACTAGAGAAACTCCCCAAGACTCCATTTTGTATTCCTGGCCTCCATTTTGAATAAGCAAGATTCACTCCATCATTGGAAGCTGCAGCTCACATGGTGCTTCAAAAGTAGAGGAAAGGTCAGCTGTGGTAAACAACATAGAATTGGTGGGAAAACCAAAGTAGGGGAAAGGTCAGCAGATCATCATAAATCTGAGGGTATGTCTACACTACGAGAGTAGTTCGATTTTACTTAAATCGAATATGTGGAATCGATATTACAAAGTCGAACGTGTGTGTCCACACTAAGGACAGTAATTCGACTTTGTGAGTCCACACTAACGGGGCGTCGACATTGGAAGCGGTGCACTGTGGGCAGCTATCCCACAGTTCCCGCAGTCCCCGCTGCCCATTGGAATTCTGGGTTGAGCCGCCAATGCCTTCTGGGTAAAAAAATGTGTCGAGGGTGCTTTTGGGTAACTGTCGTCATCCGACCGTCACTCCCGCCCTCCCTCCCTGAAAGCGCCGGCGGGAAATCAGTTCGCGCACTTTTCTGGTCAGTGACAGCACGGACGCCACAGCACTGCGAGCCTGGAGCCCGCTGCGACCATCGCTGCAGTTATAGCCGTTGTCAACACCTCGCACCTTATCATCCACCTTTCCCAGAGGCAGATGCTGAGAAATCGGGCGAGGAGGCTACGGCAGCACGGTGAGGACCTGAAGTCTGAGAGTGGCACAGACCTGTCACAAAGCACGGGACCCCGCGCCGAGGACATCATGGTGGCAATGGGTCATGTTGATGTTGTGGAACGGCGATTCTGGGCCCGGGAAACAAGCACGGACTGGTGGGACCACATAGTGCTGCAGGTCTGGGATGAATCACAGTGGCTGCGAAACTTTCGCATGCGGAAGGGGACTTTCATGGAACTTTGTGAGTTGCTGTCCCCTGCCCTGAAGCGCAATGACACCCGGATGCGAGCAGCCCTGAGTGTCCAGAAGCGAGTGGCCATAGCCCTCTGGAAGCTTGCAACGCCGGACAGCTACCGGTCAGTCACGAACCACTTTGGCGTGGGCAAATCTACCGTGGGGGTTGTTGTCATGCAAGTAGCCAACGCAATCGTTGAGCTACTGCTCTCAAAGGTAGTGACCCTGGGAAATGCGCAGGTCATCATAGATGGCTTCGCCGTGATGGGATTCCCAAACTGCGGTGGGGCTATAGATGGAACTCACATCCCTATCCTGGGACCGGACCACCAGGCCAGCCAGTACATTAACCGAAAGGGCTACTTTTCAATGGTGCTGCAA